GAAGCCCCCCGCCAAAATTAAATCCTGGATCCGCTAGTGCCCTTATTCAATACTGGGCCATATGTTATTCTTAAATTTTTTAGGCCTTTTGACTACCAGTCTACCAACTGGGCATGCCACCACGCTCTGATGAAGAAATACAATGTGGGTCGAAACGTCGGAGTAACCAATAACATACTATTTCAGTTTATAGTATTTATTTGACCGCACTCCCGCTCAACTCCTTCTCATATTTATAATATAGTTGGATATTTATGTAATAATTGGATTTTCTTATTAATAAATAGATTTAAAAAAAGTGATTTATTAGAAAAAGTAATATAATAAAATGAGAGAGAAAAAATATTATAGAAGAGACTAAAGATATGAGAACTGTAAAAATTAAAACAGAATATATTAAAAAAATAAAATTGAAAATGCAGGTAGGAAAGAGAGTAATTGTTAGAACTTTAAATTCTTTATGGTGCACTTAATCAGTCCGCTATCAGGAATTGATAAAACAAGTCTCGCGAAAGACGGCAATCCTTCCTACACTGAAAGATAGTAGAGCTCTCTCGCCACTGCAAGGTGGAAAGCGTTCCTCAAAATCTCGGTTCTGGAAGCCAGCAGCTGGAATGCTCCCTGAAATTTCTCACTATATACCTATACAAATCCATCCCTTAGTTCAGGAGGGCCCTCAGAGTCCAGAACTTTTCTTGCGAGGCACATCAAGAAGAGGAACAGTTGATTTTAGTAATGAGACAAGTAACGGAAAAATGTTGAGAATATAACACCAAACGTATTGTCGCAATGGATAGTAGCAATACGAAAGTATATAATAATGGAGCTTTGTAATTTGTAACATTCCAGTAATGGGAGAAGTTAGTCAAGAAAATGTCTGCTACACTATTTAAATTTAGGTTTCTTAGTGTATTAAAGAAATCGAACATAAATAGAGATGTTTTGCATTTATCGAAAAAAAAAAATTGTGCTTATGCAGGTGATATCTGCTTAATAACACGGAATAAACAATACTTTATTGATGTCTGTAAACTATTAAAGTCTGAACATGGAGCTATTGGAATAAACTATAGTGAAAATATAACAAAATTCATGTATACAGTGTGTTTCGTAATTGCACGGCACTATTCTAGGTATGTGTTCACCAACACAAAATAAACAAAAAAGTTCATGTTAGCATGTATCTCAAACTAATTTATCTAACAGATATCAAAGGTTAAAGATTTATTATTTATTATTAATATTTGTTTATAATTATTACAACATTTAGAGTAGCTGTTCAAATGAGCCTCCGTTTTGTTGAATACAACATTCAGCACGACGAATCCATGCTCTCTGGCTCTTCGTATAGCATCAGGATGGTGCTTGATAGTTACTGCGGCTTCCACGATCCCATTTCTTAGTTCTTTTTGCGTGCCAACTACCTCATAATAAACCATAGACAGGTGATTAAAACATGTTATTTAGTGTTAAACACGTTAAACTTTGTACAGTCAGTCTTAATGTAGTGAATAATAAATCTTTAACCTTTGATGTCTGTTTAATAAATGAGTTTGAGATATATGTTAATATGAACTTTTTTGTTTATTTTGTGTTAATAGACACATACCTAAAATAGTCTCTTGCGATTACTTAACACCCTTATAAGTGCGGATAGTCACTCAAGAACAAGATTTAATGGTAGTTACTTTTACATACCCGTGTGCAGAACTTAACTGTGAAAATAAAATTTCAATAGAAGTGCTAAAAATGATCATGGATGGTAACCAAACTTTACGACAACAAAAGTAAAATTGTATAAAACAGTAATAAGGTCTATTGGGTCATATTCAGCAGAAGCATGGACCTGATAATACCTCTAGATTAAACATATTAAACATTTAAAAAAAAATTAAGAATAACACATACGCCAGTATTGGATAAGAGTGAATGGAGAATTATATGAGTTGTAGGGATCATGTAGCATAGTACAGTTTATAAAGGTAAGAATAGAATTGTTGGTCCACGTATAAAGGTTGGAAAGACAAATTCATAAAGAACTCTTCTTACAGGAATGTTTGGGAACAGAAGGAAAGGAGGACCAAGATAAGACCAAGCAGGACACTTTTGAACCAAGATATCGACAAGGACTTGACAGAATATGGTAGGACGAGATTGGTGACCTTAGCCCGAATGTTGCTAAGTAAGTAAATAAGATTAATGTTACTTAAATTATATTAATCAATAAAAAATAAAAATGAACCCCAACGCAACCTCTAAAAACAAATAAATTATTTAATAAAAATAAAAACATGATTATCAGATGTAATTTAATAAAAAAAATACTTGGCGAACGCAGTTCTGTTAAATCCATCTTTGTAACCCAGAGAAGGTTATAGATTGTTCAAGTTTATTATGGAGGTCATTTATACGATTTCATTCTGTTATCATGATTTATTGGTTATTCAAATTTTGTCAGATGAAGTTTAGTATAAACGGGTTCGAACAAGTGCGAATTTCTTTCTATAAATTATAGTTACATTTAATTCCGACATAAGTAGCATAAACTATATTCAATTTAATGACCAGTTAATTTACTTCATTATGAGAAGATTGAAGATTTTTCTTCCGATTTGAATTACTTATGAAAATAATTCTTTAAGCAGACCCTACACGGTAATTCATGAATGAACGTCACAAGAAGTTCCAAGATTGCCCGCTATCGCTTTGATCATGAAGACCCTTACACGTTCAATCATTACTGATCATTACTTATCGTTGCTGATTTAGGTTAGATCGTTGCTGACCAATTTAGCGCAGTTGTAAACAAAGAAACAGCATTGATATGCTTATTTAGACATTGTCATTTATAATATTGGGCGTCAAGAGAAAAACGGAACCTCAACTACATACAAAAATCTATGAAAAGTATTGCGAAAATAACCAATTTGTTAAGAAAAATGAAAAAATTAATGGCAAATAAACACAACAGTTAAAGATTTTTTTTCTATAAGTAAATTGTGAAGTTTCCACTTTTTGTCTTCAATTTATTGCCCACTTGACTACTTAAAAAAAAAGTTGAAAATGGTTAATAATAATATAGACTAGGGATATAAACAACTATTTACTTAATAACGAGACCTAGATAAACTAACCTATCTAGTAGTAGTCTCATAGAAAGTTAGTCTCATAGAAAATCGTTTTGACAAAAGTTAGTAAAATATAAGTCTACTATTTACAAAAATTAAGGAAAGGTATTGCGAAAATAATAAATTTGTTGAGGAAAATGGGAAAAGAACTGATTAATATACACAACGATAAAGTTTTTTTTTTCCTAAAGTAAATTGTGAAGTTTCCCCATTTTTTTTTTAATTTGTTGCCCTCTTGACTGTTTAAAATAAATAGTTGAAGATGGTTTAAAATTATAAACAAGGGACATGAAAAATTATTTAACTATTTACATATAATGAAAATCAGAAATTTATAATGGTTGTGAGGCCTAGGTAACCTAACCTATCCAACAGTATGGTTAGTCTTCCCACTACTTTTACCTCAGTCCCCCCTCCACTTCTCGTGAATGAACCTTTGATTTCCGGATGTTCGGAAATCCGCAGTTCACCACCTTCAGTACTTCATTCACTACCTTACACGGCAATTCGGAACGTCATTAGTGCAATTCCGATTGACCGTGTAGGGTCCCCTTTAGAACAGTTGAATCCCATAGCACCGTACAATAAGGTTCATAGGCATGTTACAATAAGCCAAGTAAGAAAAAATAAAAAGATGTGTTTTATTTTCTTGACCATTTCTTGTTTGAATCGTTTCTTCTGTAAATAATAAAACAGTGTGGGTCTGACAACAGTGGATTCAGATCAATTACATAGCTATTTACATAATATACTTCTTGTAAATATGCCTCTTAATATTGGGTTATTAGTGTGCAATACGTCTTTCGTCCCACCGCCTTTTTAGTCATCAATAGACCTAATAACAGGGAGGAAGAACATGATAAAACGAGTGGATTAAGATTAGAAGAATGAAATATGGTGTATTTGTCGTATGTGTAGGATTATACTGATTGTATATTCATGCGTAATTTTTTGTTTCTATTCATAAGGGAGCTAGCCCCGGAATAGTTTATAGAATAGAATAGCCCCAGAAGTTTATTTTCCATCTACCTATCTATGGTATGATTTAATATAAACCAAGTTCTATTTACAATTTTTCGAAGCATTTCGGATTGTATTTTGTTCATGTGGACGTGCCTTTCGGAAACCGAAGTTATGCTCTATATGTCCAAATTAGTCTTAGTATAGTTGATTAGCCATTTGTTTTCTAAAATTCGTAAAAATCAGTAAACCTTCAGATGTGACAGGTGATTGTAAGATCTGATTAGTTGTTGTATATCTTAATTTGGTAATTATTACCCAGGTAAGTTTTCTTTATTATTCGAGATAATATAATACAAAAATAAATATATGACTAATTATACTTTTTCAGAAGTTTAAATTTTTGAATATTTGTATACTTCGATTTACCTATCATCTTTGGGAAAAGAATGCATATGCATCTTAAGAAGAAAATTTCCACATATTATTTTCCACACGATTAACTCAACACTGTAGATGACATTGTAGAATCAAATCACATTATATGTTTTTTATCTCCTACCGAAAATCATATGATTTATGCCAAAGTGAAAATTTAACTAATTTAAAATACTCTTGCTTGGCACTATGGGAGAAAACGCAAATTGCATTAGACACCCTATTAACTTTTGGGTAGACACATAAATGCTTAAGGACAAACTAATAATTGTATGAGAAAATAATTCGTATGGAATATCGGCACGATTTGTGGGTAACTTTCACGGAAGAAGTGGAAACTCGGCAAAAGCGATTCGGCCATTAACAAAAACTCAACATTTACACTGTGGAATCGATTTTTAAAATTTAGATTGAAAACAACTTCTCAGTTTTTTCACACCTTTACCCAAAAGGGAGGTTACATCTGAGCGTATCACATGGTTTTAAATTTCAATTGTTACTAAAAAAAAATTAGAGTTGTATTATACTTATTACTTTATATTAAATTATGTCAATCGTAAAAAAAAATCTGTGGTGTATAAGGTAAGCGTGCTGTGACAATAGACTCTGTCCCAACCATGGCAGTATTCCAAATAATCACTGAATATTCTGTTTAAGGATTTTCTCCGGTCTTACTTAATTTTCAAATGTCACCAAACCTCATAGTACATCGCCTAAGTCACGACGAATGTCTTCTAGCGAGGTCTGCAACTCAACAACTTTCAAGGTTCGTCTGGATTGGGATGAATTTAAATCTTAAACTTTATATATAATAGTGAGTTAATGATAAGATAATGATGTATTATTTTAATCTAGGGCTTAGCTACCTCGTTTGCATAGGCAATGTTCATATGTCAGGGATGATAGAAACGTATGTATTGTTAAAAATTAACCTAAGTATAAATGTTATTATATCTTGTTTAGTTTCAGATTGGAGAAATAGATTGCCGGTCTCATCTATTTCTTCAATCTCTAGTATCCATACATTTGTTTTGAACCCCCTAAAAACGCAGCCTACTAACTTTATAGTACATCCGAATTTATTTCATTTTACCATTATAATCTTCTTGCAGTCATTTTTTTTTCTCTACATACATTATCGTCTTGTTTGAAGTGGAGTTGACTCGAATCACCTTCTCTATCTCGCTGTTCTTCGTCTCTTAATTTATTCATCTAAGGTAAAAGATTTCTATGCAATTATTTATGGTCTATGATCGAAAGGGCAACACTGCACAAATGTCATTTTACTTTGATGAGTGGGCCAAGATCTATCCGATAACGCGCTATAAATGGGATTCTGAGTAGAGCCGAAGATAAAAGTGTTCACAATATAACCTCCCTTTAACAAGATGGCGATTTATAACTTGGGTAAACTCCTGATTAATCCTTTTCAGTTGACACCAACGGGTCCTTACCAAACGATTTCGGTCACTTTCGGATACACTCGGTCATTATCGAGATTAATTTTATGGCGTGATCATGAGATCTTGAGCTACTTATAAAAATGGAATGATAATTTGTTTTTTTTTATTAAACTCCTTTGCCATTGGCTATTAGGCCATTCGATTCCTGGCATGAATACAACTTCGCCATGAAACCTTTGTTTAAATTTGTTCCGATCCTATCAGAAGTACTGCGGACATCTGACAGAGTGGGACAAACTGAGATGTGTAGGTCGTACATCTCGTCCTGTTGGCAAAGAGGGCACACAATTGGTTATTGGAATGAAAAGTGAACAGTTGTACCAATGTAAGCTTCAAGAATCTATTTCGCCATTTTATCTTTATCCTGCTCGCAATCATCTATATCACAGCAGCCTGAAGTGCCTTTCAACTATTATATTTTGTATTAACTGCAGCTAATTGTTTCATTGCAGTTCTCTTCAGAAAACTCGCAGTATATATATATATATATATATATATATATATTTTTTTTTTTTTACAAATATTTCCATATTTGGAAATAACAGTCCACCACTTCGATTTATGCTTTGAAAAAATAAATAAATGATTTTGAAGAATCTGAGTTCTTTATTACTCATCTCTTCCTGGTAATCACTTGGATCTAGATTTTTAAAATATATATATTCGGCATTAGAACGTGGATTTTGCAAAGAATTTTAAAATGATCTTCAACTGCGTTGACATTATTCTGGAGGGAAGATGAACAAGATTCGCCTCATTAGCTCATCGATCTAGCCACTCAAAGACGTTTGGAAATTGATTCTAGGATTTTCATGATACTATCATCAGCATTAATAAAACACTTAAAACGGTAAATTTGTTTCCATAAGCCCAAAGAATTTCAATTAACTTATCAATATAATATTAATTTAAACTTAAAATTAACTTAACAATATTAATTTAACAATAGAATTTCAATGAAAGGCATTAATCCGTTATTCCTTTTGCAATTACATAAGGTTATTGATAAACTAAATAAAATAAATAAATAAATAAATGTTTAGAAGATTTTTCTAGCTTTTAGTTTTCATTTTATATGTTGGCCTGATGTATTTTTTTGGCTTTTTTTTTAAACCATCTCAAAGTTCAAGCTCAAGCGCTGGAGTCTCAATAATGAAAAATAAATTAATACACATATTTTTAACACAGCCTTTTCTTTAATCAGAAATGACTGACCTATTGCTTCATATGTTTTCTCGTCTGGAGGTATTATCACCAATAACCAATAACTGTTATTTTATCAGCCAGTTATTTTCAAATTAATGTTAAAATCCTTTTTTCCTTTCGTCAATTGTATGTTCTTTCAATCGATACTTCAGTTTCCAGAACTATGTAATAGGAAGTCTTTTTTTGTACATGCAATCTCGATTCACTTGACCTCCTTTCGTCTTCAAACAAGGTACAATAAATCGATGTTGGGTTTGCAAACGATGAAATATAACCTCTGCCTGTTGTTATCCCTCGTTGCTAGGGAGAAAAATTATTTGATATTTATAGAATTGATTTAAATACTCCAATTCCTTATAAAATCCATTCGCTTAAATACAAATATTTGCAATGATTATATTCTACATCCCCATCGGTAGATTAATTTGTTCTCCGCATCATATCTATTGAATACATAAAACTACAAGTTTCGAAGTATCCATGTATCAAGTATAGCTCCCTAATTATGCGAGGTCAAAGATTAGTGATATTTAACCACTCGATGCCTAAACCATTCAAATAAAGAATACAAATTATTTACAATATTTGCAGTACAGATGCCATTGGCATACCTCATGATTTCTTTCTCATATCGTCAATTTATTGCTGCAAGAAGTCACTATGATTCGATGGAGTTGAAATTTTCTAAACATTTTTGTTAATTTTGACCTAATTTATTAAAAACAAACTACAACAAAGCAAGTGCACCAAAATGACCCAAACTCTTTTATGTATCAACAAAAAAATTCATCAAAGTTCTTAGTAGTTTAAGGTTTTGCAATGTCACTTAATGACATTTGCAATAAATCGGTGATTTATAATTTTGTAAAATTGTTAACTTTATCTCTGCATTTAAAAATAAACTTCTTTTTAAAAATGATACCTTCAATGTGTTAGTGCACGTTAGTATACATTGCCAGAAAACCAACAATTTGGCGTTTGCAATAGGTAATCAAAGTTACGCAATGCCGAGCTTGGCTAGCACTTGGATGGGCGAACGTCCACCAAAGAAAGCCACGCCACCCGAGATTACGCCCCTCCTCAGGTATGTGAGGCCCCTCAGCCTACTGGAGGCAACTCACACCAACCGGGCGTAGTATTGATGACCCTACTCCGAACTTTAAATCGGGAATCGGGATGTAGTCTAGGAGACCACATTCGCGGTCAAAGATCTTCATGGTCTGTGGCGCCAATCGAAAAAAAAAAATGTGTATATATATGTATAAAAGACCCGTCCTCCCCCCCCCCCCCAAATCTCCAAAATTACTCTTGTTGGCTGTTTTCGTCTGCCATTTTTCACCCTAATATACAAATATTATAATTTGTCTCTTTGGTACAAAATATGTACTCTGTAGGTATAGTACACTCTGTCATATTTTTTGTTAATTCAGATAGCCGATTGTCCATAACTTTGAACAATTAATTTTTTTTTCTTACGTACTAAATTATTTAATAAATAAAATGAACATGGTTTCATATACCTGCGGGATACAATATGTCTCAAAAATTGAATCAATTCAATTTTATGGCTGTTCATATTCATAACCCGATTTAGGTTTGTGGAGATAATTGTACTAGATGGAACAACCATTCTTAATAGGAAACTGAATCCTTACAATCCAAAATTCTTCGTAAAATCCTCAACGCTCCTTACTTTGTCACAAAGAAAATCATCCATAAAGACCTTTATGTTCCATATGTTTCCGATTTGGCCCAATCCAGATACCTATCCTTCCATAACAAACTGCAAAACCATCTGAACCCTCTAGTTTCAAACCTTGCTTCCTCCTCGATCCCTGATAACCCTCCGAGGCGTCTGAAAAGAAGATGGCCTCGCGATCTTCTAATATAAGACCTTAATGTGAGTTCTACCAATGGGTAGTTTCTCTTCATGTTTTACATGTCATGATATCAATGTCACATTTACTTTTTGCATTTTCAATGTAATACAGTTGTAAATTTCATTAAAAAAAAAAAAAATAGGAAACTGATTTAAGAAATTCGTACAATTAAGCAATTTTTACTTGACCAGGAATCATCTAGAGACCTTCATTGATAGAGGAAACCATTGTAATTTTGTAACCTTACTCTACTATGACCTATTTTTATGTCAATGGATCAATTCTACTGTCTCTTCTGTTTCTCGATAGTGTATCCTACTCAACGGATATTTCCCTTTAAAGTATAGTTCATTGCTGAAGAACCTTTAGTTTACTCAACTGCTTATGACTGATGATGGAATACTTATTTCTTAGGCGAAAATGGTACCAACAAAAATCCACGGATTTCGAAGGAACCAAATCTATAAAAGCTGGAAATGCTGCTTTGTCTCAGGCCCGTATTCATTGACTGTCAAACCCCATCAAATCAAACCCCTCATTGTTCATTTTGATTGGAAAATTCTTGTAGACTTTGCAACATGGTTTAAACCGGTACGGAGGTACGTTGAAGAGGATCTGTCGACTCCCATGACAATTTACTAGTAATAATAAGATTCACAAAACCATGTTCAATTTGGTTTTGGCACACCCTTACAGATCTTTTACTCCAGTATGTGAATCTATGGAAAATTCCCAGATTTATTTAACATTAAAAATAATTAAGAACATTATACCTGCATGCCAGATCAATCTAAATGAATTGTTTAATTTATATTTAATTAAACAATAATTGAGTATAAATTTTACTAAATCATTATTACAACGAATACAGTCTGCTGAAACTTCGGAATGTGCTAAAGGAATACTGACCCATCTGAAAGCAGTGACTCGCAAAAAAGAATGCAAAGGCAATGAACAATTGGATGTAAGAAGCCATTTTTATTTTTTATAAATGCCATTTTTTAAAATATATACAAGTAGTATTTGTTTTAATTTTTTTTTCATATGTCAAAAAGTGTGTTTAACACAATCTCAAGAGGATTGAAGAATGATTAATTATAACATTAGTTTTAGTCTTATGAATTTATTGATTATTTTAGTTGTTTTCAGTCATGTTTTTTCTCGAAAATAATAGACGATTACACTGCGCCAATCCATCGTAGGTATACCATAATCTTTAACAATTTTATGGCTGTTTACATAAAGTTAGTGGCAGTTTACATTTACATTATGCCAATTTACAATTACTGTGTCTCAGTTCTTAATAACCAAACTCTATCGGTGATTTTAGACAAAATCCCCGCACCAAAAAAGAAAGTTCGTGTGATGCATGGGCCGATTCCACACGAAAAAGTCATTAATACCAATTATGTGTGATCACATTTTTTATTGGATAAGGAGGTATTGCTCAAAAACTGTTCAAGATAATAAAATTTTAAGTACACCATCGTAAAATGGACAATTTTTTTTTAGAAAACAGCTGTTAAATCTATTAAGGTCTATGACAATCGTGGCTTTTTTTTTATTTGAATAAGCCATCCAAAGAAGATATTAGGATATATATTACTCGTATTTTTAATTTTAAAAGAAGTTAAGTTTTTTTTTTTATCATATGTGATATCAATAATAGGTTTTACTTAGTAATTTCTTTTCTTATTTTAATAACCGGTTTCCCTTCAGCATGAAACTGAGAGAAGGAACAACGAACCATTCGACGATAGTTCTACGCGAGTGTTCGTCTTCAAAGAAGTCTCAAGCCTGGATGAAGACGAATCGTGTAACTTAGGGAGAAGGAGTTCTTGGTGTAGTGATAATGGACTGGTAAAGAAGATAAAGCTATCAGAAGACGGCACTGCTTTGGTATGACTTCAAAATTAAGTTAAACCGACCTAGCAATAGTGAACACTTAAGTAATATTTCCAGGCCAGGAAATGTAAGATCTCTTGTGTTTTCTAAAAATTTTATGTTTCTAAGTCCTCTAACATTAATTTTTTAAAGCTATCTCACCAAAACATAAGATTAAAAAGATATAACTGTCACTTAATTACTACGATTGACATGGACACAGATCTTGAAATCAGATTTTCATTAAGAACGTGACTATCGATTATAATTATTAATGACTAAAAAAAAAATAATAATAAATAAATTAGCGTAGTAATTGATTCGTGGTAGAGGTTTAGGAGAAGGTGTGAATAAACAGATGGTGGAAACGATATCGATTTATATTAATTTGTGTGATGTTAATGATGGAGATTTGACACTGCACGCAATCTTCATTACTTCAGTTTTAGAATTGTGAGTATAGAAGTTTGCTGGAAAAAATCAGGATAAGTTTATTTTTTTTTTTAAATAGAAGGAAATTACAATGTTTTTTTTTTTTTAAATTGTTGTCATTGTTAATGAAAGCATACGGGAAATAATTCAGTAGCCATGTAGTTTTAAAATATTGAACATTTTTATATATTACGTTATGGGAAAGAGAATGCTCCATATAGAGTTGAAAATAAAACAATGTGATATACCTTCCAGCTCTAGTTAAAACACATGTATTTCAATCTCGAAGAAGAGTAAAAAAAATCGTTCAAAATTATTCGTGCGAGAGGTTAGAAAAAATGTGTACAGAATCGAAAAATTCCACTCTCGTGTTACGTTTCAGACATCCAGAATCTAATTTGGTTCGATGTTTGTCTGTAATCAAATCTATGTAACGGGTACACCATCTACTATAGTTTATCCGATTTTCATGAAATGTTCAGAGATTGTGCGGGTTGATGCCTAGATAGCTCTATATCAATTTTATCAAATTTCATCACTTCCGCTACCGAACGCGGAACATCCCAGGTTCGAATCCGACTGATGTCAAGTAATTTTCATCAGCCGTGGATCTATTCTACGTTCGGGGGATCTTATGTCTCCTATAGAGGTTATATTCTATTTTTTTTTTTAATCCTAATATAAATTTTCGATAAATTACATAAAAACATCAATTGATAATATTTCCAAATTAGGTTTCTGAATCATTTGAAAAATTTTGTGAGACTCACAAGAAGGTGCGACAGAACGACGAACGTCCCTATTCGTCCGACAGCCGTAAGGTTTCCAAACCCCACCTCCAGGTAAGAGATTATTTTATTATTTTGATTAATTAAGAATATGTATAGCTACAATATTTACAACGTATGCAAGATATGACTCGCCCATAATTACCATATCCTAATATGGAGAGCATTGATCACGATTTCAATACAACTGTAGTATCAAAAATTACAGGGAATAAATAGCTACATTTCTGTTGTTTTTTTTTAGATATGATGTTTAATTTATAGAACTTTACCTCATAATAAAGCCATACAAAATATTGTAATTAAAAAACAACCTCACCACAGAATAACCCTATCCTCCTTTGACTCTGAATATTTGACGTTTAACATCAAGCAAAAAAAAAACAAAGTTGTGTGCTTTAGACCATATGGAAGTGAAAATATCAACAAGGCGAGATTAATGATATTAAATATAAATTATAAATAATAGCTCATTGTAAAGAGGTTAAAATTCTGCACATTTCCTTCGCTTACAGTATGCAGGTCAGACGTTTAGTTTCTGAGATATTTTAATCTATATCTTCCATAAAATCTCGTTATTATTTGGTTTAGGACACTATTCTCCCTTTTCGGCTCTCTAATACGGCGTCACGTTAAGATAGAATTTTGAATGATAGCCCTTTACAGACAGGATGAAATGCTGAACAATTCTTTCGTATGCAGTATGCAGATCCGAGATATTTTAGTTTCTGAGATATTTTAATCCATATGCAAAAACACTTCAAATAGTCGACTTTAGCCGACTTTCCCAGAGCGTTACACATCGGATAAGTGACGGCTCAATCTAATTTACTCTCCATAAAAAGTGAAAAAAAAAAAAACGCCTAAAGAAGTTATCACTAAAATATGAAACAATTTTAATAGTTAAAAATTAAAAACATGCTTAAGCCAATAGAAGAATTCTACCACTTGAATTTTTTTAGATCAACACTAATATATCAAAATTTTATTTTTAATTCTATTTAATTAATATTGAGTTCGGAAAGTATATGGGAATTTCTTACAATATACGTTTGTGCTTTTATCTCCTATGTTTTTATCACAGATCATTTATCTGTTAACTATCATTGATCGATTGAAACTAAAAGCTTATTGTAAACATTTGAGTTTTCGAAACATCTATTCCATTACGAGATGATAGACGATAGCAGTTTGATACACGAGTTTTCACTTTGAAGTGAACCTCAGATAATGCATTAAACATACTTTTCACCTGTTTCTCTTGTTCTTTATGCACACCTAATTTTAATCTAGCTTTGTTCTGTATCTTAATCTCTATTATCAACCAAAAAACGATTTATGACTGATATCTTCAAAACGATGTTTTCAGCCGACAGCCGAACGAGGACTCAAAAAACAGCCAAGGCCAATGACGGCCAGCAAATTGTCGGATATTGCAGTCAACAAATACCCAGACTCCATCTTCAAAGTCTACATCCCTGAAGGAAACAGATTCATCAAGAAGAAGAGGGTCGTTCCCCTGGCCGATTTGAAGCCAGTGACTCCAGTGAGGACTGGCCCTGCTTCCAAATGCTTGACAGAACAGGGGAAAGTCCGCAACGAGAATACCCTCAATACGCGGACAGCCGCCATCCCATTGAAAACTAAAAACTCAATTCAGCATCAGGAGTTACAGAACACTGACAAGAGTCTCCAGAAAGCAGCGGGGGAAACTACCAAAAATAAAGCCAGCAAATCGGGCTTGTCAGGCCAGGTTCCAAAGAAGATGACGCATATAACCGACATTTCCTTAACGAAAGAGCAGGAAAAAAAGAGGATGAAAGAAAGGGAGATAATGAGGAAGAGGACAATGGACGTAGTGAAAATTGCGTTTCCTGTAACAGGGAACGAAGAAACGAAGCAAAACGAATCAGGAGGCAACAGCAACGATTCAGAAATGAGTGATGACGAAAACACTAAGCAGAAGATTCCTTCAAAAAGCAAGTCTTCTTTAAAATCACACTCTTCGGCAACATCCTGTGAGCATACAGTGACTGGGAAAAGATCGGTCACGTGGGGTGAAAATGAATGGTCCGACTCTCCGAGTCAGCGCCATGATGAGCGGTGTATTCAAAGGAAAAAAAAGACTGTGAGTACTTTTCACTAATTCATTTTCTACTTTACAACATTAAACTAGTTTCGATTTAAAAAGTTGTTAAGTATACTTAAAGTAAATGAACATAAAATTGAACATATGTGGGTGATCCTTTCATAGCTCATTACTTAAGAAGTACATATTATCATAAAGTAAATTATAAGCGACTCCTAAAAAATGCTACAATACCATTCTCATCTGTCCAGATCACTAGAAAAGACATAGTTATGGGTTAAACGCCTTTGACCTGGAATGAAGTTATTTTTTTATTCCGTGCATGTTCTAGCACTTTATACTTTCTAAATTATCGTCAAGAACCTACAGACAATTAACCATAAGACTGAAATTCATCGAGGTTCTTACTTGAATAATCGGTAACTATGAATATAATTACTATTGGCAAAGATAATTGTTTTTAACACCAATAGTCCAAGAGAAATAATTGTGTTTTAATTCGAAAAATTATAAATTGAGCCGTTTCATTTTGGAAGTGTTTTGTTGAATTTTCGGTGTGATTTGTTTGTTTCGATGTCTAGGTGCAAAACTTCCAGGTCATCAGCGTCCGATCAACTAAATAACACTACTTTTATACTTTTCAGGCGGTTAGTACATAAAAAAAAGCAATAAGTTAATTAATCAATGAACTATATATTGTAACTTGTTATATATGTTTTATAATTTTTTCATTGTCTAGGAACTTAATTAATTTGGTAAGGATTTCTTCTTGATTTCCCACGGATGCTTATATATTCTGAGGTATTCCGAGATCTTTTAACCTTGTGGTGTAAAAAAGGCACTCTTTCAAAATATGTTTTATGGTTAATGACTGGTAACACCTTTGACATTTGGGGATATTATCTTTCGTTATGAGGTGGATGTGTGTTAGTCTAGTATATCCGATCCTCACCCGATAGCTGCGTTTGGAGTTGCTCCACGGTTACACCTCTTTCTTTATTTTCATTAATTTGCTAGGTGCGCTGTTGTCTCACCGTATTTGCCATTCTTAGGATATGATTTCTCTTAGAGGTCGTGCAAGTACAGATGGTGTCAAAAAAGCTTTACCGCGGCCTGGAATCGTAAAAGCTTCTTTTGCTACTCTATCAGCCATTTTGTTTTCTTTAATGCGTACATGGCTAGGTGACCAGATAAAATATGCCGTTGTTTCCACTCCAGAAGCATGTTTATAAGATTTAAAATGCAGTGTATCCCTGGATGGTCTAGATACATGTTATTCATGGCTTTCAAAGTACTTACGGAATCCGATACCAAAACCAAATTTGCAACTGGCTTCTTCATAACGTATCGAGACTCATTGCGATGGCATTAATTTCTGCTGTCTAAACATTACAAAGATAATGTAATTTATATTTGTAGGTAGTATCAGTGGTGATGGCTGATGCAGTAGATGTATCTGATTTAGATCCGTCGGTGAATATTAGGAGTTCGGGTAATGTGATGATTATTTTGTGGAACTTTTCTTTATAATCTGTAGGTGATGTACTATCTTTGGTCAATTAGGCGGGGTTAAACTGGTAGATCTCGACTTAATAAGTGGTAAGACATTAACTGTTAATTAAAACTCTGTGGAATTTTCTACTGATCGATGAGGTGGAGATAATCCAACCAACTTGCCATATTATTGTTTCTGTTGTTATAATATAGATTGAATATTAATTTTTTTAAATAACTATATATAACTTTCAGGCTCACAATCACAATTCAAGTTGCGCCCACATTCGCAGAACTGATTTAAAAAACAATAGTAACTCAAAACAGCTATGCGGCTCTAGAAGTACCATTAAGTCTTTCAAAGGAACGACAGCTAACTTGAACAATAGAGAAAAGAAAAAATATTTCAGGGCTAGAACGCTAAGCGAATCACACGAGCCTCCTGATAAAAACGAAAGCAAACCTATCAAGAAAAGAAATATGTATACAAAAAGAAATACGGTGGTAAATGACAGCTTTTCTGATAGTGACCGAAAGGATGAAAGTGACTCTGACTACTGTTGTTCAAGGGAGAGAATCCAAACAAAGAAATATTTAAAAAATAAGAAAGCGTTTAGGAGGAGCGATTGCGGAAGGTCTTCAAATAAAAATAAAATTGAACTCGAAAATGAGTCTAAAAGTGGCCAAAATGCAATAAAAAACCAAGAAAGCAAAGATGCCCAATCTGGTAATATAAAATTAAGTAACAGTGATAAAGAGGATAGCTTTCAAACTAGAAGAACCGCCATAATAAGAAAACACAGCACAAAAGAAACGCTCGCACATCCGACCAGGTACGAATTGGAGGAAAATTCAAACTCTCAGTGTGAGAGCGAGTCTGATCTGAAGACATCCCTTTCTAATGAAGAAGGAATGCTCCAACTAAAAAGGGGAAAGTCGACTCCGTCATTGAGAAAAATATCAGCTCTGGATTGTTCATACGGAAGTTCCGACTCAGAGCTCTGCTTTCGAAAGGATAATAATAAACATTACGGTGACAGAGATCCACAGAAAATGTCTTCTGGCGAAGATATTGAAGATAAACCACTAAGAAAAATATTTGACTCTAGCAACAGTCAAAACGAAGTTACTAAGAATGAATTAGGCAACATGATCCATAGTATAAGAGAGATTTCAAGTTCTAAATCATTAGGTGGGTCAAACATTGTTGCTACCATGAGTGGACCTGAACAAAATATTAAAGTAACTGAAACTTTTGCTGAAGGTGTTAAAACATCAAAACTAAATATGAAATCAATAAACGTTGGAGAATTTCACAGAATTCAAGATAAAAAGTTGAAATGTGCGACAGATGAAGAGAGTATCGCGGAAAATCTCGTGAAAGAGGATTGTGTTCTAAACTTAAAAAAAGTGGTTCAATTACACAATGAACAAACAAATGATAATGTCAAAAATATGAATGTGACATCCAAACATCTCACGTTTACTGAGCATTTGAGCAAGGAATATGTTTTTGTCGATGCTTACAGTATGATTACTAATAGCTCAAAGTCTTTAACGTTGGAACAATCCAGCTCAGTTCCGTTGACAAGAGAAGTGCCAATGCTTAACTTACCCTATCCTGATAAATTGGTAAAACGTGATGTGCAAGAAACCGATAAAAAATTGCCTGAAAAATATCTTAAATCGGCGACTAAAATATCAAGCGAAAGGAATTTTAATACACAATCTTGTCCTACCTCTGAGAATAGTAGTATTCAGCATTATCAACAGGAACACCTTCAAGATGACTATAGCCAATCTTTCAAAGTAACGTCGAATATGAAGGAATCAGGAAGAACGAGGAAACCTCCTATAAGAGCTCAAAGATCGATAGGAAATATTGATTCTGATTCGAAACATTCTACAGAAAAAGGAACATCTGTCTTTCATCAACAGTCAAAAAAAAGTTCATCTAGAATTATTACAGAAAATAATAGTGAAGCATCAGACAAGGATCCTTGTCCACAGTTGTCGAAGCAAGCTGAAGATCGAAAACTTCACTTACAAAAAATGCTATCAAGAGGTGAAAGTGTTGGTACCAGCAGAGTGGCAAACCAAATAATGGAAAAATGGAATTCCACACAGAAGTCCATTTCTCAGAGAAAAGAGAAAATGCTTGCATCTATAAGAGATACAAGACATGTAGAACCGGGACGAACTCATACTTCTCAATCTAAAGAGATTGCAAAGCGATCTCCCATGCCTGACAACAAAACTAGTCAGTTATTAGGTCCTCAGGTTGATTACCAAGTCATTCAGAATAACGAAGATCGTTCGTCTCTCGAAGAAAACACAGATATTTCAGATGTGGCTGCTCCGTTTCCCATTAACGAAGATCAACCGATCGAAAAAAATGAATCGGTCAACGAAGAAGATAACAGTTCATTATCAGAAAAGGAAGAGTTCGAAACAACGATCGTAATGCCTGGATCTAGAATACCTCAACCATATTCATCTACTAACATTTTAGATCCCTCTGATAGACACTTAGACGAATCACTTTCGCCCTATATTAGTGAAGACACTCCAGAAAAACCATTATGTGAAACGCCAGACTCAGGGATCATTGGAATGCCATTGGAAAATGATTATAGCTCGAGTATAGCAAATAATAAAATTTGTGGTGTTCCGACTGTTTCAGATCTTGATGAAGAGATCCCTGAGAGAGATTTACACGTTACTTTACCCATAGATTCATTCAAAACTGATAAAGCCTCTCCTGAAGCCTATATTAATGCACGCAGCTCAATTTCAGACGTGGATAGTACTTACGGATCGATACGCAGTAATGCGTCAAATAATGAATCCAGTGTCTGTTCTCATATCCATAGCCTGAATGTTGAGGCTGTGCATTCTAATGAAAATGCTATGATTACGCAAACTACTATTCTATCGATACCAACTACGAGAAAAGTACAAGAATCTGTTTCACCCAAAAGAAGGAATGTATTACCAAAATCAGCCAGCTATTCTAGATCGACATCTCAGGAGAGGTCAATATCAAGAAGAAGCAAAGCTTCCTCATCTGGTAGTTCTAGACGAAGTGTCGAGCATAGTAGGCCTCCTTCAAGAAAGCCCCAAATGATAGATACTACAGATGAAGACAGTGATCAAGAAATTATTACTGGATCTTCACCATACCATGCTGATTGTTACAGTCGAAATGCTATAGAACCACTCAAGAAAGCTCCAACTTCAAGAATGTATTCAACATTAAATCATACTCCACATTCGGCTCAAGAATCGATAAAAACAGCAATAAGAGACCTGGACGGTGTCAATGAAGATACCCGAAACAATAGTGTGGGCTCTGACAGACCAATGTCTAGCGGGCAGTGCTCTAGCCGCGGAAGAGGGTACCAAAGCTGTTCTTCAAGACCAACCTCCGGTAAGTCAAACATTCCTAAAATGTCACCTGGATCAGTTAAAATCCTCAAGGAGAAATCGAGAAATGCCCCTCAAAGATGCTCTACACCAGTTAATATCAATCTAAAAGAAAATGTTATGGAAAGTAGAAACACTAAATTAAATTCTCGGTACCAGGGTCCAAAACTACAGGATTCTAAAGGAAAATCAAGATCACCGACTCCAAATGAAAGAGGTTCAAATTTTAATAATACCGTTTCCCCAGTAAGAAAGAGAGGAAATGACAAACCTCCATTTCGATATTTTTCTCATAACAAAAATGAAGACGAGGATATTTGGAATTTGCAAAAACTAAAGAACTTTGCAGTTAATAAGACCATAGAAAATTATCTGCCACCCTGGGAAAGAGTTGATTTGACTCCTCCAGAAAGTGCATTACGAGAAAGAGCTTCAAACGAAATGAGGCTAGGAATCAAGTCCAGAGTAACAGCGAGGCATTTCAGCCCCCAAAACAATGAGCCATACACTGCATGGCAACGTAGTTCAGGGACTGCAACACCTAGTGGTAGTGCGACTCCAGCTTCCAGAGGTGGCTGCAGAACTCCAGTCGGCGAGAGGACTCCTCTTGGTGTGAGAACTCCAGTCGGTGAGAGAACTCCTGTCAGAGGGAAAACTCCTGTCGATGGTAAAACTCCAATAAATCCAAGGACACCAGTTGGTGTGAGGACTCCAGTCGGTAGTAAAACGCCGATTAATTGCAGAACTCCAATTGGCTGCAGAACTCCAATAGGCGACAAAACTCCAATTTGCTGCAGAACTCCAATTGGTAATACAACTACAACTGAGTGCTCATCTCCAGCTTATAGCAGATCGCCTATTAGGAATTTGAGCCCGGTTGTAGGAAGCAGAACTCCAATTAGAAATAGAACGCCTAATCCTACTGAAAGAACAGGAGAACAGAAAACAGCTGCAGAGAAAATTTTGTCTCCGCGAACTGATGAAAAACTTCATCAGGTAAGTTTCTTTATTTTCTATTATAGCTAAATTAGTCCGTGAGCAAAGGTGTAAAATTACATTGATGTCTAGCGAAATATTAATGATTTTGTTTTAATCATTGAATAAAATATTTCCTTTATTTCATTGGATGTTTGTCAATTATCAGGGTTAACCCTGCCCCATCATTAGGTCAGCTCACAATATAATATTCGAGTATGGTACACATTACATTTGACTCTCACTGTTGAAATTATTTATGAATTAATATTGAAATCAAGGGAGTTAGTTGTAACGCTGAGCAAACTGGCTTACAGTATTGTGAGCTAAACTGTACCCCAGTGTCCCTCAATACCTACATCAGTATTACAGAACGTGGTAAGAATTCATCCTGACGTGACAAAAAGAGTATTTTTAGAAAATCAAAAATTAATTAATCAAATATTAACGAAAAGAATTGTTTTATATAAATTTCAAAAGTTTGTCCTAAAAACAACAAATTACATCTCCTTCGTCCACAAAGAAAAAAAAGTCTGACAAGTAAAATCAGTATAGCTTCCTCGCCGTTTTCATTGGCTAAAATATATCAATATTACAGGGTATAAAATTTTTCGTATGAGAATAAAATCCCTAAGAGAAGCCGATTCGGGGGAAGCCGAAAAGTGATTGAACAGTAAAAACCCAAACTATATGCGTTTCAATACGTAATTAAAAAGTTTATAATATGCCGTAAAGAAAAATGTAATATTAATATGAAAAGTAGTTAAAGAAACAGCGTTAAAAAACCCGAGACGAGTAAATAAAAACACCTAAGGATTTGATATCTGAAAAAACTTATTAATTTTACAAATCAGCAAAAAATATAACGAACTAGTGTTGTCAAAAACTAGTTCGTATATACAGTTCGTTCGGATATACAGTTACCCTTCAACATTCGCGGGTTTGATCTCCACGAATTTCGTTTATCAGCTAATATTAAACTTAAACTTTTATTATGATATTTACAACTGTATTAGTATGAATACATCAAGTAAATTTGTATCAGCTAATATTAAAATGCAAACGGGTCCCGTATTTGATGATTCTTAATTAAAAAAAAAAAAAAAAAAAAAAAAAAAAAAAAAAAAAAAAAAAAAAAAAAAAACACTGCATAGTGAACATGAATATCACTACTGCTAGTCCAAAAGGTAGTACGTAAAATTTATTGTTTTACAAGAGAGCATAAAAACTCATTATTTCTTAATGCTTTATTAGTATAATTTCATATTTTATTGTCATCTGCTATTTTTCATTGTAGCAGACAGTAGTCATAAGTATATATATATATATATATATATATATATATATGTCAGTTCCAGAGTACAAAATGGCACCTTTAGTACAAATTGAATAAAAGTTTAATTTTTTTACATACAACCTATTGCACTAATAGTAGTGATATTTACTTAATAGATATGTTTTCATGGATGAAACTAGAAAATCCATAGGAACTAACTTGTTGTTAGTTCGGAGTTAATGAGACCAATACTATTCCTCAGTCAGAACAAAACCCAAAATAAAATTTAGATTAAAAAAAAATAAAATTTATACAATTTAAAAACAATCATATCATCACCTCTAGAAGGATCAAAAATTATTTTAAAAGTTATATATGATTTAATTACTACATTCATTACAATATTTCTCCATAGACAACAATTTTATTTTTAGCAAACGAGAAGTTTTTCTCGGAAATATAATTGAAGAGATAAAAGAAAGCCTGCCTTAAGTATTTAAAAAATATGACGTCTGGAAGATTTCCGAAGGTGAGATTATTTAGATCTAAGCTAATTTAGTAAACTTGTTTAACTGTGTAATGAGCTCTCGCATAGATGTCCTTCGCCTTGATTCATTCGAATTACAAGCGATGTTAAGAGAAATGTTTCTATTAATTTAAACTATATGTTATTATAAACAAAGTTTATCTAACAAATAGAATTGTTGAAACTAGACACTTTATAGCGACTACGTTGTGTCGGAAGGAGAAGACTCATCTTCCATTTGCGTTTGGTAGTCCCTCGCGCTTCAGCAGCTGTAGAAATATAAAAAATGACTTGTTAAGGAGCTACCTTGAGGAACAACGTTCGAGACGGTTACTTCAGCTTCAGAAGAGAGCGGAAACCTTTTTATTGAGGATTATTACATGATCCATTTCAATTGAAGCACGTTTTTGGCGCGTTCATATCAATGTAATGCATATCTTACCTATATCAATGTATCACAGTGGGTAGGTTGATGATTTGTCCGCAAAGATGGTTTCCAACACCAGAGACCGCTTAGAACAACAAGCAGAATGGTATACTAACTTGGATGGAGAACGGCGCAAGAGAAAGTAGTTAATGATGAAGGCCCAAACTATTCTCTTGAGAACGAAAACGGATAAGGCGCTTTCGGGAGTTTCAGATACCCAGCAATAATGAAAATTTATAAAGGAGTGACTATGAGTAATGAGATATGCTTCTTCCTTCTGGAATCAGAACTACTGGGACTGGCAGTAAAGCAAGTTGGCGAGATAATAGTTAGGATTATTTGTTAGGTTTGCTGCGAATCATTTGGGCGTAACCCAGCGTATCGCGTTGTTGCTGTGATGATATTAGCAAGAGGAATACACCTTCATCTCCTCATGCGAAAATACAAGCTGATATCTTCTGGGAATTCTTACCCTGAAAATTGGCGAGAATCCTAGCAAACGGAAAAGAACTATTCTGGTAGATCCAATGGAAGAATGAAACTGGCGATGATTAGAGGTCATGGTAGATTTCGAGTAAAGCTTCATGGCCATGGGATGGACATTTACCTCCGAAGTCCAAGCTGCGATGTTGATTAGGATTCTGAGCTCATCTATTCGACTGCACTTCCCAAATTAATGAGAGAAACGAGTTTTTACTTCCTAACATAAAACGATTCCCCACTTCGTCACAGCGCCAATTTACGCTGATTTTAAATATGTGCGGAATGCGTGTCATCTAGAAGATCCTCAGAATTAGGAGGCTTGGGAGAAAATCTGGCTCAAAAAGAACATTATTAGCTTTTATTTATTCATTTTTTTAATCGCCTCTACCCTAGAGGGTCATTGGTGGCTAGTTTTCTATACTCTATTGTAACATTTGGTTTCTATTAAGTATCGGAGTAGGATAGTGACTACATCTTCGTTGTCTCTTAATACATCTTTCATTGCTATTGGTAGTTTCAATTTTTGCCAAATGTTGCTGAACTCGTGGCACTCTACTAACAGATGTTTTACTGACTGCGGTTTATTGTGCTTCTACATGGGTGCTTCTAGTCCTCTGAGAAGGCACCCGTGAGTAAACAGGCAGTGACCAATTCGTATTCTACACAATATGGTTTCTTCTCTTCTGCATATTCTTGTGCTAGTAACCCATTTGTTGCACTATGTTTTTATTTCTAATAGTTTTGGCTGTTGAGTTTTCCATCTATTTACTCCATTTTCCAATAAGTTCTTTTTTGTTTCATGTACCCAGTCTTCTACTGTGGTACAATTTATTGAAATTATGGTTGGCGCCTCTCCCTTCATTGCTAAGTTAGCTACTTGGTCTGCTCTTTCATTGCCTGAGATACCACTATGAGATGGAACCCAGACAAATATTGCACTGACCGTTCTTTTTCTTAATCCCCACCATAGATTCAATATATCCCTTATTATTGAATTGTGTGGCCATGGGTTACCTATTGCTGCCATGACGCTTTTGGAATCTGATGCTATCGTCCATTTATTGTGATTGGAATTTGATATCCAATGGAGGGCCTTCATGATCGCTGTAGCTTCTCCAGTAAATATGGAGCTCTCTCCAGGTAAGGTTAACAGAAGTTGGTGCTGGTTCTTATCAATACATAAAGCGCAGCCAACACTATTTTCCATTTTGGAGGCACATATCACATTAAAATCTTTGTACTTCTCCAATAATTCAAAAAAGTAGTTTTGGATACTCAGTGGGTATTCTTTGTTACGTCTTGTCATTGATATATCTATAGTCCGTCTACTGTTCTTCCAGTTAGGGATTTTGAGGTTAGGAATTTATCTAATGCTTTATATGCACCTTTTCAGAGATTATACAGACAACCTTAAGGTTCCATTGCTAACACCCGTATTACCTAAAGGACTAATGTCACTAATAAATAATTTTCCATAATATTCCAAGATTCCAGAGGATCATGAACTTTTTCCAATAAATTTTAATTCGTCGAAGACGATCATATATTGTTATTTATAAAATCTGAACATGTTATAAGTATCTCATGGCAATCATTGCATCCAAAAGCCTTTCAGCAAGAGTTACGTATTTCAGAAATCGCACATCCAGTAATTTTTAAACGTAAGGCTTGGCATAGTTTGTCACAACTATATCGGGTCTAGACCCGTTGACTTTCGAAACCTCATACTTTCTTCGATGACATTTATTAAAGTTTTAGGAGTAATTTAAGTTTCGAAATTAAATTTGTTACTTTTCTCTAAAATTCCATTTTCTTCGATACGTCATTCATCACAATTCAATGCTTCTAATAGCCGGAAAAGAGATTCATACTTGTTTAATAAATCAATTGATAAATGTTTAATAAATCAATTAATAAATGTTTAATAAATCAAGTGTTTTTTTTCAGGTAAATTTCCTATGATTTCTAAAAAGTGAAAGTAACAACATAAAAACCTCAATAACAAATGTTTGTTCGTCTGTGTGCTGTTTTGTGAGTCCTGACACATTATATGTATATCCATATGTTATAATAAATTTCTTTAAAATTTTATCTTTTTTTTTTAATGTATAACATATGTTTGCTAAACATTAAAACATATATTTTTTTATATAAGTATGTCTGTATTTTTATGTTTTTAATTTACTTATCTTTAGGTTAGTTTATTTTTTATTGTACATAGTGTTTTTATTATTATTTTTTATTATTTTACTTTTGTTAATTACATATTTTTTGTATATATGGTGTAAATGTGTTCATATTTCACTATAATTATTGTCCACGAGACAGATAATTGTATGTCTAAATAAAATATATTTTTAACATATTTTAAAAATAAATGTAGGTAATATTACTAATAGTAGTAGTGATAATTTGTGGAATTAGCTTCCAATAAACCTTTAATGAATTTCCATAATTTTAAAAGAAAACGACTATATTTAAATCTAACTATGGTTATATTAGGGATGTAATAAAATACAAATTACTTGATTTTTAAACTGTGGAATACTAATCATTAACGGCTGCTTTTTCAGTATTTTTTTCTGTGATTAAATCTATTTTTCATGTACAAATCTGCATATTTATGAATATTTCGTTAACTTTTTAATAAGGATAGATAGAAGATTAATAAAATGAATTGATTAAAATTAAGTAATTAAGGATGTGTCTAAAAATCGTATGTATCGAAAAAAAAATTCTTAACATCGCATTTATAATACAAAAAGATTGGTCACTTTTGGAATTAATTAAACTTCTAAGATTGTTAGATTTTTTTTTAAATTTAATTTATGGGTTCTTGTGTTTGACCAAATTTAAACAGTTTGTAAGTAAATACTGTTTTCAGGACTAAGGTCTTGAAGATAAGTTATTGGGCCGAAATCACGACCGGTAGCCAAATTTTTCTCACTTATTACTCATTAAGAGTACCCACTTTATTGGGAGTTCTGTCTGGGTTTCGGTTTCCCCCAGGAAGGTCTCTTGACTCTGGATTAAACCTATTTGTCCGGCGCTAGATTTTCTTGGGTTCGCCAGCTTACAGCAGTAAGCAGGAAAAAAATAGCAGCAATTCAGAGACTGGCACTTATTAGGATTACAAAGGCCTACAGAACGGCCTCGCACGAAGCGGAAGACTTGATTCTGAGAGACGCCATTAAGATCTATGCCAAGAGACACGGGCAAGGATCACTTCCGGATGGACTACGACAGAGGGCAGAAGAAAGACCAGGGAATTGGAAGACGGTGTTAAGGGAGGATTCACTCGAGGAGTGGAACAGGCGATGGACGAGAGCGGAGAAGGGATCAATTCTCAGGCAATTCTTTCCCACAGTTTATTGAAGATTAGAGGCGAGGTGGGTCCAACATGACTACTGGTCTTTTCAAATCCTCACGGGATACTGGGTGTTTAGAGAAAAATTGAATAAGCATGGAAAGAACATTGACCCTCGGTGCCCCACATGCAGGGTTTCTCAAACAGCGGATTATATTCTTCTTGGAGAAGATCTCCTAAGACTGATGTCGGAGAATAACTACTCTTATATGGCCAAGTACGTGAGGAGATGGAAGGAAGTGGTGGACCCTACGCACTTTAACTTGGGGAGAGAGCACCCGGAAGAGTAAGGGGAATAACTGCTACTCCAAAGGCCAACGGACCCAGAGGAGTAAAGAAAAAGATAGAAAAAGAAAAAAAATTATGTATAAATAAACATTTACAAATGAAGAAAAAACTGTAGCCCCATCAGAAGGTACGCAGCCGCGTACCGGGCTAAACCACAGAATCTCTGTTTCTGTTGTTCCTAAATATATAAACGAAATAAGAAGAGTTGTATCGGCGGCAGTGGCATGCACAGATCCCATGTGCAATACCTATTCTGCTGAAAAACCCGTATGCCAGAAATGGCTAGGTAGGGTGAAAAAAAAAATAAGCGTTTCCCTTAGGTACAGCCAAATTTCGTAGAGGTACAGCTAACTCTATTCTAACCAGAGTGGGAACGTCGAGATTCAAATTTTAACCCTCCCAGGCCGGCTTTGCTAGGCAAGTGAGTGCTAAAACCATGACCACACAAGCAGCAACTGACCATCAAGGGTACTAGAAAAGGAGTCATTTGGAGAGTAACATGGTATAAGTTAAATTTGTATATAATAAATAATCCATATATGTAAGATCAATAATATGAAATATAAATTTTAAATAATAGCTCATTATAAAGGTAATGAGATGTTAAATATTTCCCTCACTTTCAATATGTAGGTCCGATTATTAGATTCTGAGGTATTTTAATGCATATTTTTAATAAAACTCGTTATCATTTGGTTTTCGACACTATTTTTCCCTTTCTTCCTCTCTAACAAGGCGTAGCGTTAAGACATAATTTTAAATTATAACTCATTACAAAGAGATTTAAATTATGAATATTTCCCTTGCTTACAATATACAGGTGCGATTTTTAGTTTTTGAGATATTTTAATACATATGCAAAAACACTCCAATTAATCGACTCCAGCCGACTTCATCCGAGCGTTACAATCGGAATCTGACGGCTCAATCTAATTCACTCTTCACAAAAAAAAAAAAAAGGAAAACGCTCCTAAAGACGTTTTCTCTCCAAAAATGTTAACAATAGTAGAAATTTTATTTATTTCAAAAGTGACAACTATTTTTTATTTGGCCCTGTATATTAAAATAATGGAGGTTAATTACAGTGAAACATTATAGAGCTTTTGTTGTGTTCTTGGTAAGATGCCAAAAATATTTGTTAGTACAATGATCTTGAACTCGTCAATCTTGAAGAGGAAAGGAAATAAAGAAAGATATGACTTTTATTATAAGCACGCAGGCTCATCTCTGTGTATTATAATGGCAAAAGATACTCCGAAGTGCCTCAGAGCTTCACCATATATTTCGCCTGCATCTTCCCTTATTACGGAAGCTATAAATCTAAAACGGAAGTCTAGTGGTGGGGGGGCGTGGGTTTTTGCTTAAGGAAATAATTCCTTATTATGTCCTAGTGAAGCGGAGCCAAACCGCAACGGCCTCTTCCAGATGGGTCGAGGAAAATATCTAACTCTTGGCAAGGAAGAGAAGCCAGGTTGTAAAGCGATTGGTAAAGAAGACTTTTAATTAGTTATTAGTTACTATTTAGACTTTTAGTATAATTAGTTATTATTTTAATTAATTATTGGTTTTTATTTAGACTTTAATATAGTTAGTTATTAAGTGTTCTTAATCATATTTAATTTCAACTCACTTTTATTTGTTAGTATTTATTCAGCAGGTTCGAGATTATTAATTAATTAATCAAAAATTTTAATAAGCTTGATTTATGTAATTAATTTCTAGAAACTACAACAAATGAAACTCAAACGATTACATATAAAAGAGAAACCTAATTAATAGTTTAAATTCAAGACTTACTTCCTCATTATCCGTTCCTATCTAACTGATAGATCCTTCAAACTTAATCATAATAATGCCTATTCATCCCTCTTTTCCCAGTCAGCTGGTGTTCCTCAAGATAATATCCTAGGTCCTATCCTTTAAACAGTTTATACAGCTGATATCCCAACCCATCCTAACACTGTCACAACCACGTATGCCGATGATACATGTGTCCTATCAGTTAATAACGATCCAACAATTGCATCCCAAACCCTTCAATCACACATCACAAACATTGAAGAATGGTTTCAAAACTGGAGGATAAAAATTAATCCCAATAAATCCCATCAAATCACCTTTACCCTTCGTCGTAAACCTATGTCCTCTTGTCCTACAGTATCCTTTAATAATACCCCACTTATATCTGTTGAACAAATTCGATACCTACTCGATACTCCACTTAGACAAACGTCTAATTTGGAATCCTCATACCAGACTGAAACGACAAGAAACAGCTCGAGGTTTCCGACTCCTCCAGCACTTACTAGAAAAACTAGACTAAGCTCCCAGTCAATTACAAAAGACTCATATACATGACTACAATAAGACCTATTTGGACTTACGGAGTTGAGCTCTGGAGCTCCACTAAGCCATCGAATTCCTCTCGTATCCAATCCTTACAATCCAAAATCCTTCGTAAAATCCTCACAGCTTCTTACTTTGTCACAAACAAAATCATCCATAACGACCTTAATGTTCCTTATGTTTATGACCTGGCCCAATCCAGATACCTATCCTTCCATAGCAAACTTCAGAACCCTCCTAACCCTCTCGTTTCCAACCTTGCTTCCTTCTCGATCCATGAAGACCCTCCGAGGCGTCTGAAAAGAAGATAGCCTCGAGATCTCCTTTTGTAAATACATTTTTAGAGTGCTACCAGTGGTTAGTTTCTCAACAAGTGATTTCATGTTGTTATATTCTTTTGTTCACATTTACTGAATGTATTTTTACTTGTAATACAGTTGTAAATATCATCAATAAAAAAAAAAAAAAAAAAAAAAAAAAAAAAAAAATTAAGACTAATAATATTGTTTAGACGATTCATGCCTTATACAAACCTCTGCATGTAAATAATTATGGGACTTATGGTTATAAATATCAATTTAGTATTTTTTTTTTTTTAGATTACAACTATATTCAAATTATAATGCGGAAAAATATTTTGGATAAACTGCTAATTGGTAGAACAATAATTATACGAAACGTTATTTATTTATAATTATACGTAGCTGAGACAATAATTTGTGTATTTTTTTCTGTTTGCTTTTTGTATGTCTAGTCTATAACTTGTATATATTCTCTACTGTATACTATATGATTTGTTGAGAATGTCTTTTGTATAAGACTTTACCACCAATAAGAATACTGTTAAAAAAAAAAACATAAAACAAAACAAAAAACCCCGAATCATTGAGGTCCGTATCCGTTTAAATTTGTATCACCGCTAGGCTTCTTAGCGTCAGCTAACATAAAAATTATGTTATTTGCCGTGTAATGTACCCGAAACTATGACAAAAATTAGAAAAATTAAAAGCTTAAATGACAAGATTTTACTTTCATTTTTAGTGGATCATATCAAAATACCAAAGCTATATTACATGAGTACCATACTATTCAAGCCGATTGACTTTTGTCAACAAACTCTTGTTTAGATCCTATCTATAACAGTAG